TCGCCCCTCTCCAGCGTTCGCTATGGCACGTGTGTTGGTCACGTTAGATCCTCTGAGCGTTGCGAGACGTTTTGTTGCCGTTACCGTTCCTCTGGCATCGTCCTGCCGAGGCCCCACGTCTCCCTGCCGGGACTTCTCGCGTTCCCTGGCCGGTGATGAGCATCGTCACTCATTTTATACCCCTGAAGTTACTGTGAATACAGGTTGGTGGCTGTAAAATTGGAACACGTCCTTATTTACCCCCTTCTCCAGATCGCTGGTAGCACCCTGATAGCACTTCTGCATTTTACTGCTATCCCGGCAACATGTTGAAAATTGACAGCTCTGCAAAGCCTGAACCCGAGCTGCGTGTGCAGAGTCACGTCTCCCGTCTGCTTCCCTTCATCTGGTGCAGGCGAGGTGCTAAGAGGAAGCGGCACCCGCTCCGCCAAGCAGGAGGCTCTCCCCGGTGCCTGGAGGAGAGCAGCGTTTCGCCACGGGACAAGGCTGAGCTCCTGGAGGGTCGGTGACAACGTTTGCCTGGCAACATGCTGTCGTCATCTATGAGCCACCGTGGATTTTAAAGTCAGAAGTGACTTTTGTTATTACTCGATCTGACCTTCAGATCAGCGCGAGAACCAGAGCTGCCTTTAGCTGTTGCCCAAACCCATCGCGGTGTCGCCACAGAGGGGCATGGGCTTGGAGAGCGTGCGGATCCGCTGTTCAGGAGGACCTCAAGGAACAGATAATTCCCCCCTGCCCTTAATGACCTGAAGGAGCCCTAAGCACGCGCCAGTGCACGAGGTCTCCTGGCAAGGCTTGGAGAAGTTTTGAGCTGCTCTGGTTTGTTCTCAGAGCCTTTCTAGCTCCTCTGTGCAGGGAGGCCGCGGGCAGCTCCCCAGCCCTCAGGGCATCTGGGCATCTCGGAGGAAAGCCGAAATTCCGGGAGTGTTTTTGTAAGACAGCATATCTCCACATTCGTGGAGATGCTCCAGTCTCCACTTATGATCCAGTGAGCACTGAAGGTTGAGGAATTAAAATAATAGCTAGATATGCTTTCAGGAGAGTGATTCCTCTGTGTAATTATAATACATATTATCCTCCCTATGAAAATACATTATATTGAATAAATTCTCTCTTTGAGCAGGGCTATTCATACTATTCATTTGCTGCAGTTCAAACATTTTTAGCTCATATATATCTGGCAGGTTCTTGTGCAGCTTTGTAAGTTCTCTCCTGCTTATTTATCTGCTTTCTGTGTTGCAATATAGGCTAGTGATAAGAATAAAACCATTATATATTTGTGAACAGCACTTAGATTTTTCAAAGATAATTTAATCAAGGCCATTAGTAAGTCAGAAAGAAAGATTGCTTTTTATTCAGTGCAAAAAAGAAACCCTCATTCTTCTCAGAAAATGTTTTAACCACCTGAAGTCACTCACAGGAACTTGAAAGGGTGACAGCATTTTTACTGGGGAAGAGATCCATCTTGAAATAGCTCACTTCAAAAGGTGGGTGTTTCAACACTGCCTTCAAGAAGATACTATTAAGCAGTTTTGCCCTCCCAATTTAGATTTTTTTTTTTTAAGATTTTACCAGAGGAGAAACACTTTTGTGATTCAGGGAACCCACGAATACTTCTTTGGAACATACATTTCACGCCACAATATTGGGAACACAAGCACAGCCCTAAACTGCTAATGAGTGAGAACCGCAACGTGAGGCCAGTTCAGTTTCAACATCCAAAGTGATTGAATTGCAAAAAAGAAGCAGGCAGCCATCGCTGCTGAAGGATAGAGATTTTTAAAAGTCCTTCTGCTTTAGCACAAATAAATAATGCATTGGCCAGCTCCTCAGCGGCATAAAGGGAAGCAATTCCATTGCAGCACCTGGGAATGCAGCCCAAAGTTTTAAATTCGGAGCTAGATTCTGACCTTCGTTACACTCCTAAAGCGGAGATGGGCTGGATTTCAACTGAGAACCGGATCTAGCCCCGTGATCTTTAAGATGACAGTGTCCCTTTAATTTAATATCATTATTTTTGACTGGTGCTAGCGATCCAAAGTGCTGAGCATTTTCATCTCTCATTGTGACAAATACATGCTGTAATTCTTTGACCAAAATGTCAGTCTGCTCTGAAAATGACTGGCCCTCAGAATGAGAAAGATTTCCAGGGGATTAAAACCGGGCCATTACTCTCCAGTTTAAATGCATTCAAGGCTCTGAAAGCCTATCTGCTTTGGTTCCCTTTGTACGAAAAGTTATTGACTTATCAAGGTTAAAATACATTCAGTATGGTCCAATAAAACAGGGATATCTCAGCATTCATGCTGTCATTTGCAGGTCCGTTTTCATGGCAACAGGGCTCTTTTCTGCACATTAAACGGTTCAGTTGTGCAAAGTTCAGACATTACATAAACAGAGAGGTAACAACAACAAAAAAAAAATCAATGAGCTCATAGGCATGGAAAAAGGAGATAGCATTGATTGGTCCCAGCATCGATATTTGGGATCACTGGTTCCTGCCCTGCTCAGAGCCCTCCCATATTGGCAATACAGACACAAAAGAAAGGCTGAAGGACACACTGGGGGAGACGGTGCCTTCGCACTGGGCCCACCATCTCCTTCCCATTAATTAATGTCACTTAGTTACAGGCGAGAAGTTCGTGGCTGGGCTGCTGCACAGCCCGAGCGCAGTGCGAAAGTGAGCCTGTGGAAAAGCATAAACCTTCTGGGGTGGTGGCTTATCGTTACTGTTTATTACTGCTAACAAAGCCTCCTTCTCGTGGGTCTGCACGCTGCGCGCAGAGGCTAATCCAGCCTTGAAGCCCCTTTGGTGCAGAGGCTGAAGAGGCTGGTCCCCGTTTTGCAGCTCTGGGGTTGGCAGAGCGGGCCAGCTCTGAACTGCTGCCCGTTGGGGCTGTATGACGCCTCCGAGGCCGGTGGGACTGCAGGGACTCAGCACTTTACCAGCCTGTTTGAGAAGCACCCACCCACGCAGCAGTCATCTTTGGCAGGGGAGAAGAGGCTCTGGGACTCCGGCTTTGCCACAGCACCCTGCCTGACCACAGGGAAGTCGTCTCATGTCTCTGAGCACAGAGACAACAGCCCATGTCCATCCCCTGACCCAGCTCAGCCTCTTCAGCTTGCAGCATCTTGGGACTTTCTCTTAGAGGTTCTTCCTCTGATGTGCCGAATCCTGGGAGGCTTTTCCCCAGCGCTCGCTACGGCTAACCTCCATGTTCCCCACGAGAAAAACTTTCCAATCACTTTGAAAAGCTGCTTCCTAAGCTATTACCTTCTAGGTGCTGCCAGGACAGGTGGTCAGTAGAGGTGGCTCTAGGTGGGACGTCGGTGGGATGTCGTAGAGCCCTCAGCCGGTGCGGATGAAGCCATCTCCTGGCTGCAGAGGGAGAGCGAGCGTCCAGGGCCAGCTCCCCGAGTGCTGGGCAGCGCAGGGGCATGGGGCAATCTGTGTGCGATGGAGGCACTAACATGGCTGGCAGAAATGCCTTCACATCTGTCCCATCGGCAGGACATGGTGACTGCGGGAACGCCGGGCTCCCAGCGAACATCGATGCTGCCAGACGCGCGGAAGAGCAAAAAAAGCCGCGGCAGCCGGCTGACAGAAGGCAACGGGGAGCGGGGTGCTTCGGCGAGTGACTTTGATGCTGATCGTAGATGTCAAGCTTTTTGCTTCCCAGGCAAGGGGGTGAGAGAGATTCCAGCGTTAAAATGCTCATTACAGGAGAGACACCAACATCTGTTGAAAAAGCAAATGGAGATCTAGGAGAGGAAGTGAGATGACCGCAGGCAGCCAAGCATGAAGGGAAGAGGAGGAGGAGGAAGGCAGGCAGGAGCTGGGGGGGAGGGGGTGTCTCTCCAAGCTGATGCTGTTGTGGAAGAGAGGGTCTGCTGTCCCTTTCCGTGTACCAGGGCAGGGGCTGGCTCCCAAGCACGTGTTGGGTCCCAAACCAACCCCGAGCAGGGCTGGGCCCACTGGGAAATCCAAGGAAAGAAATTGCTCCCGTCCTGCCCTTTGTTGGGCTCCTCAGAGGCACAAATGCCCCAAGAGCCAGGTCCCATCCGGGAAGAGCCAGACCCGAGAGCACCAAGAGGACGCGGCCGGCTGTGCCAGACCGGGGTGCAGAAAACTCCCCTTTGGGCCAGCAGGCCACAGAAATTGCCGAATGCAGACATTTCCAGCCGGGCTCATGAGAAGTCCCGGGCTGGGGTTCGTGCTCGCCCTCTCCCCCTTGGCTCTGCCGTCCCTGCTTGGCCTGGCGGTGTCCCGAGGCGTGCTCCTCTGCGTGACGCTGCCGTGGATGGGTGACGGAGGGCCTTGGGGCTCTGCAGACCAGCACCCACTCGGGGCAACACTGGGGGCAGCTGCCTTAAGTAATCCAGGGGTCAAGAAGGCAGAAGCTCACGTGCTCTGTGTTTGCTTTTTGCCGGTTTATTTATAGATTCGGCAAGTTATTCAGCTGAAACAAATCCCTGTTTCAGTCAGGTCCTGGGGCGAGCGGCAGCCTGCGTTATCTCACAGTCAGCCATACATTAGACAGCGCGTTTTCTGAGGGGCCGTCGGAGGCCCGGCACAAATAGCCCCGATGCCTGCAGGACGGGCTAAGAAGGGCTTTTGTCTGGGGCAGGGAGGCAAAGGGGGGGCCGTGCGCGGGCCACCGTGGCGCAAGGCCGCATCCGCTCCCAGCCCCGTCTGCTGCCTCCCACCGCCTCCGTCCTAGCCGGGCGGCCCCGTGCCCCAACCGGGGCAGCTCCGTTGAGAACGCGTGCCTGCCGTCAGCCCAAGTCTATTTTTATTCCCTGCTTAAAAATATCACAGTCCAGGTCACTGGCACATGACGGATCACAGTTCCTCTGAGCACCCAGCTCGAGATGAGGAAACGGCTCCATATCGTCTCTGCCTCCCTTTCGTTTTGTGCCGTGCACGTGGATCAGGTGGCGTGAAAACACAGCACAGGGCATGCCCTCCGCGGGATCCCTCCCGCCCCGAACCGAGGAGCCGAGTCGGGCTCTGCCCACGAGCTTGTCGCCCCCTTGGCGTCCCACAAAAGCACCCGGCGCGAGCAGGCGAGGGCACGTTGC